TACCTGATGTTGATACGTCACTGGACCTTAAGAAGCTGGCATCTGGCTAGTCAGTCAGTCATTTTACACTAAATCAACCTTTAAAAAATTTAATTAAAGGTGGAATTCAAGTGAAGAGAGTGACAGATAATTGATTCATGAGTACGCAAAATTGCTTATTTTCCCGTAAAATTTCCATAATGGTGGGTAAATCCCATGGCTTCTCTGCATTGCGCAGTCTCTTTTGGTGTTTATTTGTGCAGTCCCTTGAGATAACTGTAATGTATTCGGCGTATTTCATAAAATGTTGCTAACATTTAAGTTGGATAACTTTTTTTAAAACGAAAAAGGTGTACTCTCACCAAGGGTATACATACCAGTATAATACGTGGATTGCGCATGTATGTAAATGTGCATATAAAATGGTCAATAGTTCAGGGGCGGATTCAGAGCTATTTAATGACAGTCTTCCAAATTATCTTTGTTGATTTATCCTCCAATTTTGACCGTCTTCCAACAGAAAAAAAATTAGATACCCGTCAATGTAAACTTGAAAATCTGACCGTCTTCCGGAAGACCCAGAAGACGGCCTAAATCCGCCCCTGATAGTTGACAGAAATTGATAATTTCGTTACCCTGTCGGACCACTAAAAATCTTTACGCGTCAACAGAAGCAAAATCTTTCGCTCTAAAAATTTGAACCAAGTCCCGACATAAATCTTTTTCGGAACACGTCTCTGGTTAAGGCAAGGGCAAAGCCATTTGCTTCTTTGGCTCAGTATCTTAACCCTCGAAGCTGGGCAAAATGTCTACACTTTCCATTACCCAAGCCGTAGTTTCGTATTAAGGCTTGATCATGCAATGAAGCCAAATACTGTTCAACGCTTTCCTTCGTGTTGTCGGGGTGTTCGCGCAGAGCAATGTTTCAGAAAGGGAACACAGATGTTGGGAAAGATCAGTATATCACCTCTAACTGTTCTGCCACTTTTCGGTCGAATAATTACTGATTTCTGTCATTTCACAATACCTTTGTTTAATGAAAATCTGTAATTAGGGGCTCATAACTCCATAACAAAAAAATTTAAACCAAAATGACGGCACGGGATTATAGCCCATTCACTAGTGGTCCACTCTGCCAATTTTCGTGAAAAAATCCTGTTCAGGGATGAAATTACGCCCCAAACCGATTGCTATCTCACCTCAATATACAAGGTTGTTAAATTGGCGATTAAAGCTTTGAGTTGCCTATGCTTATACATTGCAACGAAAAATATAAATGCCGATATTTTATATTTTCGAGGGCTTTTTCATTGTTTTAATCAACACAAAGATAGATGCATTATTGAATAATTAGATGCAGGAAAAAAACTCATTTTCGGTATTTGGATGAAAGTAAAGGGGAGCAATATCATTAATGAAATAGCACATCCCATTGGCAGTAAAGCAGATACCCATACTTTGTTTTTTATCATACATTACCATAACAATTGCAAAAATTATATGAAACCATATGCCATGATGATTTCTAATTAAACACTAATTTACCTAAATACTCATTATATTTGTTAGACAGAGCTGTTCAACGTAAATTAATACATTATTTAACTATTTCACAATGATGGCGTCCATATTTCAAAACGACAGGAAAACAAATAAGCTTTATCATGCAGCGTATTCGATCCCAGTGTCGGCGTTTGCTAAATTTGCCCCGTAACAGTGTTACGATCCGGAAAACTTAGTCACAAAAAGCTCACGCACACACACACGGGAGCATGCACAAATAACCGTCCACATGTAGCTACGCATACATTCAACCAAAGAAAACACAAAGATATATAACATAACAATAACGTGACTATCTTCTCAACGTCAGGTTATTATTCAGTAAATTGAAATGATAAATCCCCTTGCCGTTCCCAGGAATGACGATCACCACCTCCTTAATTTGTTTATAATCATACTTATATACTTAGCGGCATTAAATTGCCATCATTTCCGGACGTAGTTAACGCCTAGGCAGCACGCGTTCTTGTGCTTAACAAAATGGAATTGCTTATCATCTGAGAACAAGTATCGGACGATTTGTTTCACGACATTGGTCCATGAACATAAGTACAGGAAGAAGCAATACCTGTTAAGGGCAGCCAGCATATCAAACAAGTAAAACAGACTTGTAATCATTCAAAAAAAAAAAAAAAAAGAAAGGAAGGAAGAAACGCTTGTTGCACTTGCTCCGAGAAATCACCGATGAACTGTAACCAATCCAATTTCACACATTGCAGCATCGTCAACCAATAATAACAATTTAGTTCGAGAGAAATAACTGCGGGTTCAGTATACGGTATTGACATCGTTTCATACCTGAATTCCTATTTCATGTCATGTAGGTGTATCACATATAAGTCACCACATGGGTGGTGCGCTGTCCATTTGTACTGTAAACATCTGATAAGTGTTATTTTTCACGGCTAGAAGACAGAGCGAGGGGAGCTAATACATATAATCCCCTTAAAGACACGGCGTTTGTCGTGTTGAAGCGTTGAAGCAAAAAAAGTCATTTCACTTAGCGTTCATTTCATAAAGTTGGGAATGGCTGGTCTATTCTATGTTCATAACTTTAATAAGAAACAATAGTATATAGGAGGGTGTCCGGTGCCCATGAATAATAAGAAACGTTACACACAAAAAGCGAACGTTCGCTAGACTCTGCAAATTCTTGCAAAGTAATAAAAAGAAATTTACTCCTTCATATTGTGTTTTAAAAGGAATAAAATTCTTCTCTTGTAATTTTCAAAGCTTTAAATTTTCCGACTCTTGATACATTTGGATTACCCTTGGCTTTGAGTCCTATGAGTGAGGGCCTCTCTATTTTCAAAGACGCTAGGCACGCTAATCGACTAGCAGACATGGGAATTTGGATATGAAAAAGCTGGCCTTCGTCGGTTCTAAAACCAGGTTTTAAAATCAAGTAAACAATTAATCACATGCTTTCACTCGTATTGTCTAGCTTGTTAAAAAAAGCAAACTCAGCCGGTTTCTTGATGTTTCAGAAGGTGCTAACCATATCTGGTGAGAATGCCAGCAAAGATGTCACAAATCGTTCCCTGGATACTGGCGGCTGTGTGGACGACGTTACTGTTGTCTAAGCATCAAACACAGGCAGTTTTGTTACCCACAGACGGCTTAGGTGAGCTTTTTTTTTTATATCGAACACAAAACGATTGCTGTCCTCCCCTCCCAAGTCCTCATCTTGCATCCAAACGTGCACTCCTCAAATCGCATTACCATAAAACAAGAAAAGCAGAATACCCTTTTTACCGCAGACGAACTTTGCAGAATGACGCAAGTCTCAAAATAATCAAGACAGCCCGCATCGAAGCCTGGAGCTCTATTGGTTTAATAGCATTCATTTCACCGTGATGTTGCCACGTTATGACCATGCTGTCTGTTTTTTAGAAGTCGACGAATGGCCGTTAGTGCCGGAGGGCGAAAAGAGGTTGTTTCTGCACGGTGGGAAGAGGTTATACGAATCCAATGGCGACGATAAAAGGCTTTTTCTTCACGGCTCAGGTAAATCAAATCGTTTTGCTTGCAGATGAAAATAAGAACTCACAGTTATCAATCCTGTGTTTTCGCCCTTAAAGTACTTTTTCCTTTTAACATAGATTTATAGTTTTATTTTTCCTCGAGTTGATAAGATAAAGAGCTTTCTCACCTCCTTATTAAAATCCAGTCGACGGACTTACCCGATGATCGGCACGACTTTTGGCCGTCAAAAATCCATTCACTGAGATGTTCTGATGGATAGGTATATGTAGGTTAGGCAATAATTATTTTCCAAATTATTGAGATCATGCGGTGCATGTATTATTTATGATATGTTTTATGGTTTATGTTACAGGTAAACGGGTAGATCCAGATTCCTTCTTCAGTCTCGTGATGTCAAATCGCCCAAAAGAGGGCGTTGTAAAAGCCTTGGACGGGGACAGCCGAGAGAGAAACTTGGAATGGCTGCACGGCCGAGCTCTCCCGACCCACGCGCGGTTGATAAAAAGGGAATTTTTACATGGTCGTCTCGGCAGACGATAGACGCATCAAGCCATCATTACAGTTTCGTCGATATAATTGCACTTCAAGATCTCACAAAACCCCCCGAAACTTTCAAAACCCACATTCGTTTTAATATTTAATACGTTTTAAAACGTTTTTTCACTGCACTATATCCTAGCGCCAATTATTGTTCGTTTTGTTTACCAAAATGTGGTTTGGCCGAGGTTGACGTTCTAGTCGAAAAGGAACTCTGTCACTACAAATGGCCACCTTTTCATAATTGGTGGTGTTTTGAATTATTTAAAAAGCCTTTCCGTTAATACTCATTCTCTTTAAGTATTAACAAGTTAGAAATAATGTAATAACGTTTTTATTGGACGCCTGTTAGAAAGGTATTTAGGTAAAACGTCACCTTTACCAAATAAATAAGAATAAAAACAATTCCCAAACTAGTTTTAGGCTTATTTTCAAGTATCCGTACGCATGCGTATGCATGCGTGTGATATGGCGACATTAAAAGCGTTTCTAGCTCTTAGTACCGTGACTGCACGTGACACAGGCGTAGAGGCCAGGAGGGGGGCGTTATAAACACAGCACAGATATCCTAGGTGGTCGAAAAAAAGACCGCATTATATTGATCAACTGTCGTAAGACAATTGTAACAATCGCTATTTCTGAAGAGGGACACTTCCTGTATAAATCCTTGGTATGGCAAAAGTATAAAATAGCTTCCACGCCTGAGAAATGATCTTTAAGAAATGCATCTTTGGTGCCGCAAACAAACTGAACATGGCATTTAATGTTTTACAAATTTATTTGGCTTCTACCAATGCCAATAACATATCCACGTTAGACTGAAATCGCCAGGACTAAATTTTCTTTTCATTTTGGCATTTTTTTCTGCCATTTTAGGGCTATTTTGATAAAATCCTATATGGCAAAATGAAATAAAAGTGACGTTTTTTTTGGGGACGCTGCCTCTCGAAAACAAGCCCAATTTCTTTTCATGTTTTTTACTCATATAATCTCTAGATTTTGTTTTACAAATTTTATCCAAATAAATATGACGTTTTTTTATTCATATATTCTCTAGATTTTGTTTTACAAATTTTATCCAAATTAATACGACGAAAATAGTGCTTCTGAAATATGAGAGAGCCTCCTTAATTATCGACAGCATTATTCCCAACATAAAAATCTACTTTAATGTCTAATTCATTGCAGTTAGTATAAAATCCTAATATGGCAGCATGCAAGATTTAAGTTCATCATCTATGATATATAAAAGTTACCAAAATACTACGCGATTGTAAGCATTACTGCTCTTAAAAAATAATCACACATTTGCTGCCGTTTCCCCGGCTCACAATTTCTGAAAAACCCGCCGATATTTCCCACAATGGTGGTAGTTAGCGAGCCCCGATATTCAGATATTTATACCCTCTACGTTTAAAAACACTCTTATCATGATGAACTTGTTTAAAAAATCTTTAGCATTAGGGCAGCGTATTGGAACGCCAACATTTCTTGTTAACTTTGGTTAATTTTTAAAACCAATCATGAGCAGCGCATGCAGTTGGATTGGGACAACACAACCATATGTACTGAAAAGGTCCTATATTTAGCTAGTCATTACACCCTTATCTTTAAGGTCGGGGTCAGGGTTGAGTGTTCCATATTACACTTCCGCTTTACAGCACTGGCTTTACAGTTTTAGTTATTATGGAACCTAAGCAAAACCGAAACACAAAAACCAAAAATAGAGACACTGAACCCGATAGATGAGACACAAAACCCGAAAAGTGGGACAAAAATATGAAAACTTTTTTTTATTTTTTGAGGACGTATAATTGGTTACTTACATGTCAGCCTGTAAAATTTGATGTATTCAGTGGCAGATTAAGAGGTTTCTGAAAAATATATCACACCAAAATTCCCCTCTTGAAATTGAAATCTTGACTAGCTGAGTCAAATTCTAAACCCTACCAAAGGGAACCGTTTGCCCTCCAAAAAACCAAATATTTTTCGGGGCCCTTGAGAGGTCTCGAACCCCACGCCAAGCCAAGGGAGTGATGGTCGGCTTCGCCCCCCGCCCCCCCCCACCCTCCTTCCAAATAATCCTGGATCCGCCTCTGGTGTTCCTATCTCGCTTAAGACTTCATCTTTCCAAAGGGAGAATTAATCAAACTTTTAGGTACATAATGTAAATATGGAATCACTGTAAATTATATTTTATACAGCATTTGTGCTGCTTTAACTGAATGGCATAGAACTATTGGGTGCTTTGCTTTTCACTTTTGTAACAAGCACTCGATAGGTATGGCCTTATTTTAAGAATCAATGGCTTTTAAAAATACATACAATTTTCTCGATTGAAAATATCGAGGCATCACTGCATGTCAGATGCGATAAACTGACATGATAATTAGCCCGCACCTGTTTTAGTTGCTGTATCATTCTCATTCTTTATTTACCATGATAAAGCAACTAACGAGAATTTACAACTGCACGCGCTGTCATGCGAAACACCTCCACATATATTACCTGGAAGGTCTCCTGAGCGAGAATAAGGGTAAAAGTATACTAGTAATGAAAAAGAAAGCGATCTTCCTCACCAAGACCACTGCCTGCGTATTAACGCTGTGGGCTCTGGCCTATTTTACAGGTAACTATTATATTTAACTCTTATTTTTTTGTAAAAAGATTACAATTTTCATTTATAAAAACAACCATCCTTGCAACATAAAGAGGGCTGGTTCATGCAATTATAAAAATTCTTGAATACACAAATATTAGAAATACATTTGTTTGAAGTGTTGGTTTTTAGCATTTATCAAGTTATTAAACATCAAACTTGACGAAGTTAAACGCAAATGTTTTGACAAAACTCTTCACCATAAACTAGATCAACTTATCAGGCTGTATTCCTAGTAAATGTCGATACAGTTTTTTTTTTTTTTTTTTTTTTTTTTTTTTTTTTTTTTTTGCTTTAGTGTGATTCGTAACCGTGTGATTCGTAACCGTCGAAACATGTAGCAACGATTATATTCCCTTATACTTTTCATCAGCATTTTAAGATATTGATGGAAGATTTTTGACAAAAATTGGGTTTATAGTGGCATTTATAAAGACACTAAGACGACAAAGCTTTTATGGGTACGAATCTTGCAGGAATTTACAAACCCATGTCAATTGATCGAGAAAAGGGAGTAATAAATAGCAGTGGCAATTCTCTCCGAACCATTGACAACTTGCCCAAACTCAGTAAAGAACACGACGCCATAGATAAACGGATCTGGGAGGTATTTAGTTTAACGTTTATTGTGCAATCATTGTTTACCTTACCATGATACTGACTTACAAGTACTATAGCTCTTACACGAGGTAGAAACCACAAGTCCTTTATGTTCTTTCATATTATTTATTTACTGATTTCCAGTTGCCTACTCTCTTTTTCTCACTGTCTACTCCATTCAATCTCCCGCGGCGTTCTCACTGCTTACATTGTACGTTGCATTACTGTTTAAATATCACACATTATGACAACATGTCAATCAATTGTACAGAACACTCCCCGCTCTTTACTTACTTTAATTACCAACATTGGATTGATTTAGTTTTTATTTATCCATTTATTCATTCAACCATTTATTTACGCAGGGACAGGGACAATCACTTAGTCCTATCTATATTTTGCCTAGTTGTTACGTAATAGTATAATAAAAATATGGGTATCTTTGTAGCAATGTTCATCCTTGCGGTAGGGGTGACACTTTTTTCAAATGTAATCTAGGCTTAAAGAATTTTATTACTACGGCCTTGAAAAACAGGCTTGGGTTGTAGTTTTTTTTAATGGTTTGGATATGGTTTATTACAGTTTTGAGGATACAGGGCTGATATTGCCAGGCAAATTACAATTTCGACTTGTCCAATACTCACAGCTTTTTGCTGGTGAAACTCATGTTGTCCTCATCTTTTTATTCACCTTATCTTTTTTGTTGTCCTATTTTTTTATTGGCGTTATATTTTTGTTAACCTATTTTGCACAAAATGTTTAAAAACGTTAAGAGAACTTTTTGTAACACATCTTTCAGTCGTTCGGTTGGGACAAGGTACCTCAGAATTGGGTATCTTCCGTAATCAGGCGAAAACAAAGGCTACAAGACAGATGCAGCGCCCGCAAAACTACTCCCTTCAACTATTTGAAGAGACCAAGATGGATAATAGTGGAGGACAAATATAAACTAATATTGTGCAATATGTTGAAAGCAGCAAGTCGTAACTGGAGAAATGTGTATCAGATTCTTTCCGGCCGTCAGGATCCTGCAACTGTTGTCTTCAAGGGCAGAAAAAAATACTATACACAGTTATATTCTAATGACAACAAGAACAACAGCATGCGCTTAGCAAATTATCTGAAGGTCTTAGTGGTGCGACACCCACTAGAGAGACTCGTGTCGGTGTACAAGGAACAAGTTTTGTTTAGGCATTTAGGTCCCAGACTGAAAACTTATATGAACCAGCAATATAAGAGGAACATTACTTTGCAAAAACATATTTCCTTTTCGGATTTCCTGCAGTATATAGCAGACAATGGACCAAACAATGCCCACTGGGCTTTGGTCGAAGATTTTTGCAAACCCTGTGACGTTCAGTATGACGTCATCGTTCATCATGAAGATCTTACGATCGACGCGCCTAATGTCATGCGTCTACTTGGCGCCGAACATTTGATATCACAATTCCCGTCATCTCATCGCAAGATCGAGGTCTACCACAACGAGACTCTAATACAAAAATACTACAGCGGGATAGATAGAAAACTGCTGAAAAATGTCTGGGATATTTACAAAGAAGAGGCAAGCTTCCTCGGATATAAATTAGATCTTTGAATGTATGTCATAATACGGCACATACATGCTGAATTTACATTAGAATCATAATCGAACGGCAACAATATTGCAAAAAAAGTAAATGCGGGTGGTATCAGAATTTAAAATTAAAAACGGGCCACTATGTATTTGAACATTGAACCAAGCAATAAAAATATGTAAACTCAGTTAGATTAGGTGTTTATTAAACATTCCGTGACGCTATGACATAAAAATAATCACACATTTACTGCCGTTTCCTCCGCCTCACAATTTCTGAAAAAACCAGCCTATATTTCTCACAATGGCGGTAGTTGAGCCCCGATGTTGATATATTTATACCCTCTAAGTTTCAAAAACACACTTATCATGATGAAATTGTAAAAAAAATCTTTAGCATTTCGACAGCGTTTGGTTTCGAATTGTATTGGTATTGGAATGCCAACATTTCAACTATTCGTTAATGAACCTTGTTAATTTTGGTTAATTTTTAAAATCAATCAGGAGCAGCGCACGCATTGGAGTCGGAAAACACAACGATATGTATTGAAAAGTTCACATTCTTAGCTAGTCTTTACAGTCTTTACAGGTCGAGGTCAGGGTTGAGTTTTCCATATTCCACTTCGATTCCGCTTTACAGCTCTGGCTTTACAGTTTTAGTTACTACGTCTCCATGGAAACCAAGCAAAACCGAAACACCAAAACCAAAAATAGAGACACTGAACCCGAGACAACTCACAAAAGTGAGACAAAAATATGAAAACTGCAAACCTTTTTTTTTTTTTCGAGGACGTGTAATTGGTTACTTTCATGTCAGCCTGTACCAGTTTGATCTGTTAAGTGGCCGATTAAGATGTTTCTGAAAAATATATTCTGCTCTTAAAATTAAAATTTTGACTACATAGTTCTAAACCGTACCAAAGGGTACCGTTTGCCCTCCATAACAGCAAAAATTCTCCGGGCCCTTGAGCAGGCCCGAACCCCACGCCAAGCTGGCGATGGTCGGCTTCGCGTCCGAGCTAGGCCTGTCGTTCCAGACACCCCCTCCCCCTTCAAATAATTTTGGATCCGCCTCTGGTGTTCCTATCTCGTTTATGAATCCATGACTAGATTGACTATCAATCAATCTTTCAGGTACGTAAATATGGAATCATTGTAAATTATATTTTACACACCATTTATGGTGCTTCTACTAAATGGGACGGCGATTAGGCGCGTTGCTTTTCGATTTTGTAACAACCACTCAATAGGAATGCCCTAATTTTAAGAATCAATGGCTTTTAAAAATACATACAATTTTCTCGATTGAAAATATCGAGGCGTCACTGCATGTCAGATGCGATAAACTGACATGATAATTAATGATAATTAGTCCGCACCTGTTCTAGTTGCTATATCATTCTCATTCTTTATTTACCATGATACAGCAACTAATGAGAATTTACAACTGCACGGGCTGTCATGCGAAACACCTCCACATATATTACCTGGAAGATCTCCTGAGCGATAATAGGGTTACAAGAATACTAGTTATGAAAAAGAAAGCAATCTTCCTAACCACCGCGGCAGCCTGCGTATTAACGCTTTTGGCGCTGGCCTATTTTACAGGTAACTATTATATTTAACTCTTATTTTTTGTAAAAAAAATAAAAAAATTTTATTTACAAAAACAGCCATCTTTGCGATATAAAGAGGGCTGGTTCATGCAATTATAAAATTTCTTGAATACACAAATATTAGAAATGCATGTGTTTGAAAAGTGTTGGTTTTTAGCATTTATCAAGTTATTAAACATCCAACTTGACAATAAACTAGGCCATCTTATTAGGCAGCGACTGTATTCCTAGTAAATTTAGATACAGTTTTTTTTCTTTTGGGCTTTAGTGTGATTCATAACCTTCGAACCATGTAGCAAAGATTGTATTCCCTTATACTTTTCATCAGCATTTTAAGATATTGATAGAAGATTTTTGACGAAAATTGGGTTTATAGTGGCATTTATGAAGACACCAAGAAGGCAAAGCTTTTATGAGATAGGAATCTTGCAGGAATTTACAAACCCTTGTCAATTGATCGAGAAAAGGGAGTAATAAATGGCAGTGGCACTTCTCAACGATCCACTAACAACTTGCCCAAACTCAGTAAAGAACACGACGCCATGGATAAACGGATCTGGGAGGTATTTAGTTTTACGTTTATTGGACAATAATGATTTACTTTACCACATGATACTGACTTACAAGTACTGTAGTTCTTACACGAGGTAGAAACCACCAGGCTGTTCTTTCATATTATTTATCTACTTCCTTCTAGTTGCCTTCTCTCATTTTCTCACTGTCTACTCCATGCAATCTCCCGCGGCGTTCTCACTGCCAACATTGTACGTTGCTTTACTGTTTAAGAATCGCACATTATGACAACATGACAATCAATTGTACAGAACACTCCCCGCTCTTTACTCACTTTAATTACCAACATTGGATTGATCTGTGACGCTATGACATAAAAATTCAGTGGCTGATTTAGATGTTTCTGAAAAAAAAATATTCTGCCATTGAAATTAAAATTTTGACTGCATACTTCTAAACCGTACCAAAGGGCACCGTTTGCCCTCAGTAAGAGAAAAAAATCTACTGGCCCTTGAGCAGCCCCGAACCCCACACCAAGGTGGCGATGGTCGGCTTCGCATCCGAGTTATCCCTGTCATTCCCCCCCCCCCCCCTTCAAATAAACCTGGCTCCGCCTCTGGTGTTCCTATATCGCTTATGTCTCATCTTTTCAAGGGGACTATCAATCAATCTTTCAGGTACATAAATATGGAATCATTGTAAATTATATTTTACACACCATTTGGGGTGCTTTTACTAAATGGGACAGCTATTAGGTGCTTTAATTCTCGATTTTATAACAACCACTCAATAGGAATGGATTAATTTGAAGAATCAATGGCTTTTTAAAAATGCACACAATTTTCTCGAATAAAAATGTCGAGGCGTTACTACATGACAGATGCGATAAATTGATGTGATAATCAGCCAGTAGCTTTTTAGTTTAGGTACCATTCTCATCCTTTATTTACCATGAAAATAGCTACTAAAGAGATTTAACAACATGCAAAACACATCGACATATATTACCTGGAAGATCTCCTGAGCGAGAATAAGGTAAAAAGGATACTAGTAATGAAAATGAAAGCGATCTTCCTCACCAAGACGACAGCCTGCGTATTAACGCTATGGGCGCTGGCCTATTTTACAGGTAACTATTATTTTTAACTCTTATTTTTTGTAAAAAAATTACAAAATTTATATTAATAAGACCACCATCCTGTCAACATAATTAGGCTGGTTCATGGAATTGTAAAAATTCTAGAATTCACAAATATTAGAAATACATGTGCTTGAAAAGTGTTGGTTTTAGCAATAATCAAGTTATTAAGCATCAAACTTCACAAAGTTAAATGCAAATGTTTTGACATAACTTTTCACCATAAACAAGGTCATATTATCAGATTTTATGGGTACGAATCCTGCAGGAATTTACAAACCCATGTCAATTGATCGAGAAAAGGGAGTAATAAATGGCAGTGGAACTTCTCTTCAAACCACTAACAACTTGCCCAAACGCAATCAAGAACACAACTCCATAGATAAACGGATCTGGGAGGTATTTAGTTCAACGTTTATTGTGATGTCATTGTTTGTTTTACCATGGTACTGACTTACAACTACTGTAGTTCTTACACGAGCTACAAACCACAAGGCATTTATGTTCAGTCATACTTTTTATTTACCGATTTCCAGTTGCCTTCTCTCTTTTTCTCTCTGTCTACTCCATTCAATCTCCCGCGGCGTTCTCAGGGTTGAAATTGCCAGGCAAATTTCAATTTTAACTTGTGCAATATTCGCAGTTTTTGTTGCTGTTGCCCAAACGCAATCAAGAACACAACTCCATAGATAAACGGATCTGGGAGGTAATTAGTTTAACGTTTATTGTGCAGTCATTGTTTACTTTACCATGGTACTGACTTACAACTACTGTAGTTCTTACACGAGGTAAAAACCACAAGGCATTTAAGTTCATTCATACTATTCATTTACCGATTTCCAGTTGCCTTTTCTCTTTTTCTCTCTGTCTACTCCATTCAATCTCCCGCGGCGTTCTCAGGGTTGAAATTGCCAGGCAAATTTCAATTTTAACTTGTGCAATATTCGCAGTTTTTGTTGCTGACGTTACATATGTTATCTCATCTTTTTGTTGTTACGTTATATTTTTGTTAACCTATTTTGCATAAAACGTTTAAAAATGTTAAGAGAACTTTTTTGAAACATCTTTCAGTCCTTCGGTTGGGACAAGGTACCTCAGAATTGGGTATCTTCCGTAATCAGACGAAAACAAAGGTTAAAAGACAGATGCAGCGCCCGCAAAACTGCTCCGTTCAACTATTTGAAGAAATTGAACTGGATTTTAGTGGATGACAAATATAAACTAATATTGTGCACTATGTTGAAAGCCGCAAGTCGTAATTGGAGAAATGTGTATCAGATTCTTTCTGGTCGTCAGGATCCTGCCACTGTTGTCTTCAAGGGCAGAAAAGAATACTATACACAGTTATATTCTAATGACTACAAGAACAACAGCATGCGCTTAGCAAGTTATCTGAAGATCTTAGTGGTGCGACACCCACTAGAGAGACTCGTGTCGGCGTACAAGGAACAAGTTTTGTTTCGGTTTTTAGGTCCCAGAGTGAAAACTTATATAAACCAGCAATATAAGAGGAACATTACTTTGCAAAAACATATTTCCTTTTCGGATTTCCTGCAGTATATAGCGGACAATGGACCAAACAATATCCACTGGGCTTTGGTCGAGGATTTTTGCAAACCCTGTGACGTTCAGTATGACGTCATCGTTCATCATGAAGATCTTACCACTGACGCGCCTAATGTCTTGCGTCTACTTGGTGCCGAACACTTGATAGCACAATTCCCGTCATCTCATCGCAAGATCGAGTCCTACCGCAACGCGACTCTCATACAAAAATATTATAGCGGGATAGATAGAGAACTGCTGAAAAAGGTCTGGGATATTTACAAAGAAGAGGCAAGCTTCCTCGGATATAAATTAGATCTTTGAATGTATGTCATAATACGGCACATGCATGCTGAATTTCCATTAGAATCATAATCGAACGGCAACAATATTGCAAAAAAATTAAATGCGGGTGGTATCAGAATTTAAAATTAAAAACGGGCTACTATGTATTTGTACATTGAACCAAGCAATAAAAATATGGTGAACTCAGCTAGGTGTATATTAAACATTCCGTGACGCTATAACGTAAATATAGTATGTATTATGTGTAAATATTTTATTTTGCTTGCTTAAACTACCCTAATTTCAAAATCTTATATTACAAATGCGAAAAAATTTTTGGCATTTTGGCATTTTTCTGCCATTTTAGGGCTATTTTGATAAAATCCCACATGGCACAATGAAATAAAAGTGATTTTTCGGGGACGCTGCCTCTCGAAAACAAGCTTAATTTCTTTTCATGTTTTTTACCCTTATGTTCTCTAGATTTTGTTTTACAATTTTTATCCAAATTGCTACGGCGAAAATAGTGATTCCCAAATATGAGAGATCCTCCTTAATTATCGACAGCATTATTCCCAACATAAAAAACTAGCTTGATGTCTAATTAATTGCAGTAAACATATTATCCTAACTTGGCAGCATGCAAGATTTAAGTTCAACATCTATGATAAATATAAATATGCATTTACTAAACGGGACAACTATTAGGCACTTTGCTTTTCGATTTTGTAACAACCACACAATAAGAATGGCCTAATTTTAATAATCAATGGCTTTTAAAAATACATGCAATTTTCTCGATTGAAAATATTGAGGCGTTACCACATGACAGATGCGATAAATTGACATGATAATTATCCAGCACTTTTATTACTTTAAGAACCATTCTCATCCTATATTTACCATCAAAATAGCAACTAAAGAGATTTTACAATATCTAAACACATCGAAATATATAACCTAGAAGGTCTCCTGAGCGAGAATAGGGTTAAAATGGTACTAGTAATAAAAAAGAATGCGATCTTCCTCGCCGCCACCACCGCCTGCATATTAACGCTGTTGGCGCTGCCCTATTTTACGAGTAACTATTATATTTAACTCTTATCTTTTGTAAAATATTACAAAATTTAAATTTATAAAAATATTCATCCTTGCGACACAAATAGGGCTGGTTCATGCAGTTATAAAAATTCTAGAATACAGAAAAATTAGAAATAAATGTATTTGAAAAGTGTTGGTTTTTAGCAATAATCACGTAATTAAAAAACAAATTTCACAAAAATAAACGTAAATGTTTTGACATAACTTTTCACCATAAGCTAGGCCAACTTATTAGACAACGACTGTATTCCTAGTAGATTTAGATATATATTTTTTTTCTTTTGGGCTTTAGGTGTGATTCGTAACCGTCGAAGCATGTAGCAACGATTATGTTCCCTTATACTTTTCATCAGCATCATAAGATATTGATGGAAGATTTTTGACGAAAATTGGGTTTATAATGGTATTTATAAAGACACCAAGAAGCCAAGATTTTATGGGTACGAATCTTGCAGGAATTTGCAAACCCATGTTAATTGATCGAGAAAATATGCGGTAAATTGACATGGAAATAAGCTCGCACCTTTTCTAGTTAAGGTACCATTCTCATCTTTTATTTACCATGAAATATCAACTAAAGAGAATTTACAACTGCATGGGCTGTCATTCCATATGCGAAACACATCGACATACACTACCTCGAATATCTCCTGAGCGAGAATAGCGTTAGAAGTGTACTAGTAATGAAGAAGAAAGCGATCTTCCTCACCACCACGACAGCCTGCATATTAACGCTGTGGTCGATGGGCTATTTTACAGGTAACTATTATCTTTAAATCATATTTTTTGTAAAAAAAAAATTAAAATTAAAATCTATAAAAACAACCAACCTTGCAACATATACAGGACTGGTTTGTGCAACTATAAAAGTTCTAGAAATAAATATCAGAAATATTAGAAATGCATGTGTTTGAAAAGTGTTGGTTTTTAACAATAATCAAATTATTAAAAAGCTAATTTCACGAAGTTAAACGCAAATGTTTTGACATAACCTTTCACCATAAACAAGGACATCTTATCAGGCAAAGGTCGATTGTATTCCTAGTAATTTTAGCTAGAATTTTTTTCTTTTGGGCATTGGTGTGATTCGCAGCTTTCGAAGCATGTAGCAAAGACCTTATTCCCTTAAACTTTTTATCGGCATTTTAAGATATTTACGGAAATTTTTTGACGAAAATTAAGTTTACAGTGGCAGTTATGAAGACACCAAGACGACAAAGATTTAATGGGTACGAATCTTGCAGGAATTTACAAACCCATGCCAATTGATCGAGAAAAGGGAGCAATAAATGGCAGAGGCGCTTCTCTTCGAACCACTAACAACTTGCCCAAACTCAGTAAAGAACACGACGCCATAGATAAAAGGATCTGGGAGGTATTTAGTTTAACGTTTTTTGTGCAGTCATTGTTTACCTTACCAAGATACTGACTTACAAGTACTATAGTTCTTAATTGAGGTAGAAATCACAAGACCTTTCTGTTCTTTCATATTATTCATTTACTGATTTCCAATTGCCTTCTCTCTTTTTCTCTCTGTCTACTCCATTCAATCTTCCGCGGCGATCTCAGGGTTGAAATTGCAAGGCAAATTACAATTTTGTCTTGTTCAATATTCACAGCTTTTTTGCTGACGTTATTCATGTTGACCTTATCTTTTTATTGACCTTTTTATTTTTTCCCTATTTTTTACTGGTGTTATATTTTTGTTGACCCATTTTGCATAAAACGTTTAAAAACGTTAAGAGAACTTTTTGAAACACATCTTTCAGTCATTCGGTTGGGACAAGGTACCTCAGAATTGGGTATCTTCCGTAATCAGGCGAAAACAAAGGTTACAAGACAGATGCAGCGCCCGCAAAACTGCTCCGTTCAACTATTTGAAGAAATTGAACTGGATTTTAGTGGATGACAAGTATAAACTAATAATGTGCACTATGTTGAAAGCGGCAAGTCGTAATTGGAGAAATGTGTATCAGATTCTTTCCGGTCGTCAGGATCCTGCCACTGTTGTCTTCAAGGGCAGAAAAGAATACTATACACAGTTATATTCTAATGACAACAAGAACAACAGCATGCGCTTAGCAAGTTATCTGAAGGTCTTAGTGGTGCGACACCCACTAGAGAGACTCGTGTCGGTGTACAAAGAACAAGTTTTGTTTCGGTTTTTAGGTCCCAGAGTGAAAACTTATATAAACCAGCAATATAAGAGGAACATTACTTTGCAAAAACATATTTCCTTTTCGGATTTCCTGCAGTATATAGCAGACAATGGACCAAGCAATATCCACTGGGCTTTGGTCGAGGATTTTTGCAAACCCTGTGACGTTCAGTATGACGTCATCGTTCATCATGAAGATCTTACCACTGACGCGCCTAATGTCATGCGTCTACTTGGCGCCGAATACTTGATAGCACAATTCCCTTTATCTCATCGCAAGGTCGAGTCCTACCGCAACGAGACTCTCATACAAAAATATTATAGCGGGATAGATAGAGAACTGCTGAAAGAGGTCTGGGATATTTACAAAGAAGAGGCAAGCTTCCTCGGATATAAATTAGATCTTTGAATGTATGTCATAATACGGCACATACATACTGAATTTACATTAGAATCATATCGAACGGCAACAATATTGCAAAAAAAGTAAATGCGGGTGGTATCAGAATTTAAAATTAAAAACAGGCTACTATGTATTTGTACATTGAACCAAGCAATAAAAATATGGTGAACTCAGCTAGGTGTATATTAAACATTCCGTGACGTTATAACGTAAATATAGTATGTATTATGTGTAAATATTTTATTTTGCTTGCTTAAACTATCCTACTTTCAAAATCTAATATTACAAATGCGCCAAAATTTTTTGTCATTTTGGCATTTTTCTGCCATTTTAGGGCTATTTTGATAAAATCCCATATGGCACAATGAAATAAAAGTGATTTTTTGGGGACGCTGCCTCTCGAAAACAAGCCCAATTTCTTTTCATGTTTTTTACCCTTATATTCTCTAGATTTTGTTTTACAATTTTTATCCAAATTGCTACGGCGATAATAGTGATTCCCAAATATGAGAGATCCTCCTTAATTATCGACAGCATTATTCCCAACATAAAAAACTAGCTTGATCTTTAATTAATTGCAGTTAACATAAAATCCTTGGCAGCATGCAAGATTTAAGTTCAACATCTATTTTAAATATAAAAAAATAAAATACTATGTGACTGTAAGCATTACTGCTGTTAAAAAATCACATTTACTCCTTCCCCCGTCACAAAATTTCTGAAAAACCCGCCGATATGGGAGTTAGCGAGCCCCGATGTTGAGATATTTATACCCTTTAAATTTCAAAAACACAATTATCACGAAAAATTGTTACAAAAATCTTAAGCATTTCGACAGCGTTTAGTTTTGCGTTGCATTGGTATATGAACGCCAACATTTTATGTTAACTTTGGTTGGAGTCGGAACACACAACGATATGTATTGAAAAGTTCCCATTCTTAGCTAGTCTTTACAGTCTTTACAGGTCGAGGTCATGGTTGAGATTTTCCATATTCAACTTCTGCTTTACAGCTCTGGCTTTAAGTTTTAGTTACCACGTCTCCATGGAACCGAAGCAAAACCGGCAAAACCGAAACACACACACACCAAAAATAGAGACACTGAACCCGATAAATGAGACACAAAACCAGAAAAGAGAGACAAAAGTATGATAACTGCAAACCTTTTTTTTATGCCGTGTACATTGGTTACTTTCATTTCAGCCTGTACCAGTTTGATCCGTTCAGTGTCCAATTTAGATGTTTCTGAAAAATATATTCTGCTCTTGAAATTAAAATGTCGACTATATAGTTCTAAACCGTACCAAAGGGCACCGTTTGCCCTCCATAAGAGCAAATATTTTCCGGGCCCTTGAGCAGGTCCGAACCCCACGCCAAGCTGCCGATGGTCGGCCTCGCGTCCAAGCTAAGCCTGTTGTACCAGACCCCCCCTCTCCTTTAAATGATTCTGGATTGGCCTCTGGTGTTCCTGTCTCGCTTATGACTCCATGACTTGATTGACAATCAATCAATCTTTCAGG